CCAGTCTGACCTCAGACTGTGGCTCAGAACAAGGGCAGCTCTTTTCATTCTAATCTTGTAGCCCTCTCTGACAGGGCAGTGATCTGTAGGTATGTCACGCTTGACAGGTGTGCAGACACTCTTGGCATCTTGGAAAGCATGTGCCAGATGGATGTACAACTGAAGAAAAGTTGTGCTGTAGTGCAGTCAAGCCCAAAAGGGTTCCTTTATCTGACCTACCTAAAAAGTGGACATTTGCCACTGCCAGCTCTTCCTCTGTTTGCACCTGTGAGGTGTTTGTCCGGAAAAAACTGCTCATAGTCGAGGCTTCCTGAACTGCCAGGTGGAGGAGTGCCTGCCAGTGACAGCCAGGTGGGGGAGTGCCTGCAATATGAAGGAAGAGGACAGGGACTCCCAGGAAGGTGGAAGCTAGAAGCAAGCAACATCCCCACCTACAGTGGTCTGGCTGAAGAACAAATATGGAGCTCTAGCAGCAAAGGAGTACATTCTGTCAGCAGAAGTCAGGCTAGGTCTCCCCAAGGTTGTAAGGACAGAGACCACTGCTACTAAGAAGCGACAGATGGTGGTAGTTGGAGACTTTTTTTCTGCAGGGAATAGACACATCCATCTGCCAACCTGACGTGTTGCCTCAGAAAGCATGCTGCTTGCCCAGATCTGAGATAGCACAGAAGGATTACTAAGATTTATCCAGTCCTCTGACTACCATCCCATGCTGCTCATCCACGTGGGCACCAATGATACTGCCAGGGGGAGCCAGAGCAAATCAAAAGTGACTACAGAGCTCTGGGTGCAAGGGTGAAGTGGACAGGAGCTCAGATGGTGTTCTCCTCAATTCTTCCAGTGAAAAGGGAGGGCCCACATAGGAGTGGACACACCATGAAGATCTATGAATGTCTGTGCAGATAGTGTCGCCAGCAGGGCTTTGGCTTCTTTGACCATGGGATGTTGTTCCAAGAAGAAGGATTGCTAGGAAGAGATGGGATCCACCTGATGAAGAGAGGGAAGAGCATCTTTGCAGACAGGCTCCCTAACCCAGTGAGGAGGGCTTTAAACCAGGTTCGCCAGGGGATGGAGACCAAAGCCCTGAAGTAAGTTGGTAAGCGGGTGATCTGAAGGAAGCACAAACAGGAGGGGGTGACAGGAGAGGCCTTCTCATTCTTTTTGAGAAAGTAGGGCAATCATCTAGTTACCTCAGATGTCTATATATGAACGCATAGAGCCTAGGAAACAAGCAGGAAAAACTGGAAGTCCTGGCACAGTCATGGAACTGTGATGCAATAGGAGTAACAAAGACTTGGTTTGATAGCTCACATGACCGGAGCACTGTCATGGATGGGTACAAACTGTTCAAGAAGGACAGGCAGGGGAGAAGAGGAGGACTTGCTCTTTATGTAAAAGAGCTGTATGATTGCTCAGAGGTACAGTATGAAACTGGAGGCAGGCCTGTTGAAAGTCTCTGGGTTAGGGTCAAAGAGGAGAGCAACAAGGGTGATGTCATGGTGGGTGTCTACTATAGACCACCAGGACAGGAGGATGAGGTGGATAACGCTTTCTTTAAACAGCTAGCAGAAATTTCCAGATCACAGGCCCTGGTTCTCATGGGGGACTTCAATTACCCTGACATCAGCTGGGGGAGGAGGCAATCCAGCAGTGCACAGGCAATCCAGGAAGTTTTTGGAGAGCGTTGGGGACAGCTTCCTGTTGCAAGTGCTGGAGAGGTCTTCTTGACCTGCTGCTCACAAAGGAAAAGATTGGTGAGGAATATAGAAGTGGATGGCAACTTGGGCAGCAGCAACTATGAGATGATTGAATTCAGTACCCTAAGGGAAGGAAGGAAGGAAAGCAGCAGAGTCTGCTGCTGGACCCTGGACTTCAGAAAAGCAGACTTTGACTCACTCAAGGAACTGATGGACAGGATCCCCTAGGAGGCCAATCTGAGGGGGAAAAGGAGTCCAGGAGAGTTAGTTGTACTTTAAGAACCTTACTACAGGCACTGGAATGAACCATCTCAATGCAAAGAAAGACGAGCAAGTATGATACAGATGATACAGAAAATGCTGAAGTACTCAGTACCTTCTTACCTCAGTTTTCACAGGACTTCACAAGACTACAGTGGCGAAAGAAAAGGTTAGGGACTATTTAGAAAAGCTGAAAGTGTACAAGCCATGGGGCTGGATGTGAAGCACCTGAGGGTACTGAGGCAGTTGGCTGATGAGATTGCAGAGCTGCTAGCCCTTATCTTTGAAAACTTGTGGTGATCAGGGGAAGTCCTGGACAACTGGAAATGGGAAAATATAGTGCCCATCTTTAAGAAAGGGAAGAAGAAGGATCCAGGAAACTACAGACTTGTCACTTAATTCCTTGGAAATATCATGGAGCAGGTCCTCAAGGAGTCCATTTATAAGCATTTGAAGGGGAAGATGGCGATTAGAAACAGTCAGCACAAATTCACCAAGGGCAAGACATGACTGACTAACCTAATTGCCTTCTATGATGTGATGTACTGGCTCTATGGATGTAGGAGGAGCAGTGGATGCAATATACCTTGACTTTTGATATGGTCTCCCACAACATCCTTGCAGGCAAGCTCAGGAAGTGAGTTGGATGAATGGACTGTAAGGTGGATAGAAAACTGGCTGGATGGTCAGGCTCAAAGGGTAGTAATCAATGGCTCTATGTCTATTTGGCAGCTGGTATCAAGTGGAGTACCCCAAGGGTTGGTCCTGGAGCCAGTTTTGTTCAATATCTTCACCAGCAGGGATCCAGGTTTTCCATTTGCTGTGAAAGTACAGATTTTCTCCTTTAAAGGGCAAAAATGTGGGAAACTGACAGAGTTCCAGCCTGCAAAGAGCTGCTTGGGGATCAGGGGAGTGAATGCAGGAGGTGCCATGTGCTTGTCTGCACACACACACATGCACGTGGCCAGCAATACAGCCAGACAGAGAGTATTTCCCCCAGCTGCCTGCAGGTAAGTCTATGTGGGGAGGGGGCACAGACTGAGGCAGTCACAGTGAGAAACGGAGTGGAGCAGCGTTGGTGGCTGGGGCTAGGGCTAGAGGTGCTGTCCAGCTGGGGCAGTGCATGGGGCCTGGATGGGAATGAGTGGCCATGGGCCCCGCTCAGGGAGTGGGATGGAGCCACGGGTGGTTCATCTGAGAGGCAGTGTTGGGGGCAGTTGTGCACACTCCCAAGGAGAGGGGCATGGAGGGGGCACGTGCCCCCCCTCCCCAATTTGTGCATGGGGCAGGGGATGGTGCTGGCTTATATATAAATAAGAACAGAGAGCGAGAGTGGCATTTCATTTTAATTGCAGAAAAACATGAATATTGGGGGTTTTAATCAGAGGATTTGGGATTTTTATAAGAGAATTTGTAATTTTTAAACAGAAAACCAGGACCCCTGTCATTAACATCCCTGTGAATGAATGGCTTGCTCTTTGTTTTTGGTGAAATTTAACTGTAACTGCTTACTGTAGGATTTTATAAACTCATTTGCCTCTGGTTGATACCTATTCATGTACCATATCATATCTAGTTGTTTAGTCTAGCTTTATTTTAAATTTCAATTTAATTAGTAATTTCTATTTTACTGACTAGGGATTGCTATTTTTAGCATTTCATTTCTTGACAAATAGAGAACTAGATGAATAATCATCATATATTAGCTGAAGCCTCATATCACGCCAGCTTCCACCTTGTGGCAGTTAAAAACACACAGCAAGGTGAAAGGCATACAGACACTGTGTGTTGATCTCTCTCAGCTATTGTGAAACCCAGCATTTGAGGACGGAATATATAAATATTTAAGGGGTTGAGGGAAGGAGGGGAGAAGGCTCTTTTGCAAAACATTGAGGATTCCCCTCATTTTCCTCAGTGTAATTTTTTGATCCTTCATGCCCCATGAGTTTAGATCCTTTGAGATGTGCAAAAAGAAAACATTTAATACAGGGTGCTTGACCAGATTCTGAGGCCAAAGTGACAGAGGCTGGGACTGTGAAAATCATCCTGATTTTACACAGACAAGTACATAATACTTTTACTGTAATTCTCTACACATAAGACTGTAGGTAGAAGAAATACAAATCCTCCAGCTTGAGCAGAATTGGAAGTCACTGTGAACACATCCATCCACTGGCTCCAAATCTGCTTCTGTTGTCAACTGAAGGGTTTGGTCCTTATATTCAAAGTCACTCATGGACCAAGACCTGGCTACATCAGTGTCTGCATGAGAGGAAAAACCACAAGGGACAGAGGTAAAGGGTTCTTTAGGATCTCAGCTGCAGAGGCAGCCTGCAGAAGTTGGGCTTGCCTAAAGCCATGCTATTTTTCAAGCATCTTGCAAAGACAATTTTTTAATTGAAACTTTCTCAAAAAAACTGAAGAAAGGTGGAAAGAGTAGCTTAGGTCCCCAAGCAAAACTTATATAACTCAGGAAAGAGAAAGCAGAATCATTCTTGAAATCTGGACCTCCCAATGCAGATTTTATTTATCTATCCAGCATTTAGGTACTAAAGTAACAAATCCTGTAGAGAGAGGTGGTTAGCCACGTTAGTTGAAGTCAAGCAGAAAACAGGGAGAGATGGCACCTTAGATACTAATTCATTCAGAAAGGCATAAGCTTTCGTGGTGACATCCTACTTCATCAGATGACCATGCCCTCAGCTGAGTGGGCTCCCAGCTGTGGGAGTTTGCTTGTTGCCGGTGCAGGGGGGGCCTGGGATCAGGCTCCCCCTGCACCGGCAATAAGGCACGATGAGATCTGATTCACAATCCCACAATCGTGCTTCCTGCCATGCATGTGTGGTATGGCAAGAAACACAATTGTGTGGGTGGCACATTAGATCCTATTGTGCCTTTACCTCCAAGTGTAGAGGGGTCCGAGGGCCTTTTAGTGCTACTTCAGTAGAAATACTAATGTTATAGACTGGAAGTAAAATGATTGATTTTGCTTTTACTGCACTTAGTTTTTTTGCTTAAGATGCAAAAAATCCTCTCTCTTACCTAATGTTTCCTTTCGTAATTCATTCTCTCGCTGGAGTGAGTGCTGAAGCTGCTGAGTTTTCAGTTCAACTTCATCAAACACCAACTTCAGCTGTTTCACCTCTTCTTGGAGGGACACATTATTCTTTTGGGATTCTGCCAACCTTTTATTCAATATGGATATCTCTGAGGAGAAAATCATATAAAACATTGGTCCATTTATAATCTTAAAACATAAGGATACTGTCAATACCCTAATGCCTGTGTTCTATTAAGGCCTCAAGACTTCTAGGAATCTAAATTCTATGTTATAATAATAGAAACATAGGGCTGGAAGGGTCCTTTGAAGGTCATCTAGTTTAGTCCCTTGCTTGAGACAGGATAAGAAAAGCACTGCTTCTTTCCGCTAGGATCAGAAAAAAAGTGAAAGATATGGCCAGTAAAATTCATTTTCACTCGGATAACTTGCACTGGCAGAGGCAGATCGTGATGAATATCAGCCAATGAACACTACAAGCCTTTCAAAATTTATTTTAGATCTGATACAAATCCTTTAACAGGATCTGAAGTATGCACAGCCAGTGGGACTCCATCTAGCATAATGGTCTGCTCATAAGCCCCTTGAGGCACTGGAGATCCATAAGTATAAAAAAAATAACCATATTAAATGTAACGTGCTTATGTTCATGAATTCAATACGGTTTGTGATTAAAAAATAAACATTACATTAACTTAATTTTTTATTAAGTTAATGTAATAAGTGCCTTATTGCCTAGTAGGGGGTACTCCTGCGCTGAGCCACCCACCTCACTGCGCCTGACCACCTTCCAGGCTCTGAGTGCTTCCCTGGAGGCGCCTCACGTCTGGCCAACCCCCTTCCTGGAGCACACCCACTAGCCTGGGGGTAGTGCTGCCACCACCCAGTGTCTGGCCTGATCTTGGCATTGTGCCCTCTGGGAAGCACAGGCCTAGGAGCCCTTGAGGGTACTCAACTCACTTCAAAAACTTGGGGTCCTTCCCTCAGTCTGAAGTACAAATAGTGGTCTCCCTAGCCCAGCCGAACCAAGGGGACCCCAAGGCATTATCTAGACCAACTCCCAATAAGTCTCCCATGCTAGGTACAAAGGAGAACTTTATTGGTTACAAGGAGTAGGTTTGGAATAGGGTACAGAGTAGAGCAATATCAGAGAAATCCCATAGAGCAAACAGGGTGGCTGGGTAGCCTTTGGTCACACATCTGAGTTATTGCAAGCTATATATCTAGTTAGATCTCAGGTAGCTTACTCACGAGTATCATCCAGAGGCAGGTGGAGATTCCCTCTGGAGGCAGGCAGTTCATTGATCATGAGTTTCAAGAGAAAAAGCAGGTTTCAGATGATCTAGCTCTTCTCTCTCTGAGTTTTCATCACGGCTACTGCCTCTCCTCCTGGGCAGTCCTTAACTTTTATAGACCTTATGACCTCATTTACCTGGTCCAATGGAGGCCAGCACCTGTTGGCTGCCAGCCAACCAATTTGAAATGCATCGCTGGTTACTGGGCAGGGTCTTTAGCCCCCTCCCAGCCAGGTTGGCATTGCTTAGAACAATAGGGAGCATATGTGATGCCAGCCATGTAGGCAGAGGGAGCAGGCTCCCCCCACCTCCCTCAGGAATGTATCCAACTTAGGCTACCTAAAGAGATGGGATGTCTGCCCTCTGCAGGGCCCATGTTAACCAGATTGTCACAGAACAGGGTTTTTGGGGAGAGATAGAGGTGGCATTCTGCCACAACCCATACCTTTGTTTTAAGATGTTTTTTCTTTGTGTATATACATATAAGGATACTATTGCACATTACTTCTTGCCTCCTAGTACATGGTGCTATATGATTCATGCTACTTAGTGTGTACGATAGAATGACAAGAGAGTGAAACAGGGCAAATTAAGATATCTCCAACTGTTAGAGTCCCAGCTGAAGTATTCATATTGCCTATACTTGAACATGGTTGAACTGTCCAAATACCATATTTATTCAAATATAAGATTCACTCTCCCTCCCCCCCCCCGGCATGGAAAAAAGCCCCATGCCTTATATTTGCATACCAGCAACCCCACCCCACTTAAATACACTGGCTATTGTTAAACTGCTGCTAGAATCAGCATGTGCTTAGTCATGGACGCTAACTATGAAGTTAACTGAATGCAGCCCATGAGGAACATGGCCATAAAACACATGGCCCATACTGGGAAAACAGGCTGATGGAAACTTTATTTTGTTTCCCTTTAAAAATTGGGCACTTGTTTCCTCAGGAGGGAACAAGCACTGGGCCTGGAGGTACTACAATACCAGGTCAGTGCTCAGAGAGGCTGAAGCTCAAAAATGTTGAGGGGAACCTACCAGAAACCTAATTTAGTACAGCCCATCTGAATAAGATATAGTGCCCGCTTTGCTCAGCCTCCCTCAACGCCAACTTTTTCAAGTCACGATGAAGCACTACATAAAATACATTTCAACTTCCTCTTCACTGCCACAGCTGAGCAGAGTCTTTCTTTCCCATTTCCAATGATTCCTATTTCTTCACCAGCCTTAAATGTCTGGCAAACATCACCAAACTTCTATGTAGCTGAGAGGCTCTGCTGCCCCCTCTCTCAGCCTGTTGAATGTGATTAGTGTGGTCCCACCCTCTCTGGGGTGGCGACAGATCATGCAGCCCTGTTCCTCACCTGTGTATGAAGTTTGGAGGGTCCCAGGACTTGTGAAAAGAGCAACCAGTTTTAGTTGTGAGTGAGGGCCTAGTTAGCATATGGATCTTTTGTAGGGGTATCTGGAATGCACACACATACTGAGCAGTGCTGAGCTGTGGGGTCACCATGGCTTGACATGTTGTTGACTCTGCTAAGGCCCAATCCAATGAACTATGTAAGTTATGAACCTTTTGGCTCTGAACTATCATGCACAGTTTGTACTATGTATAAATAGGTATAGAAGTGGTGCTCAGAAGTGCATTTATGGAATACCTGTGCTGAAATTTGCAGCAGTCAGTGTTGGGGCCAGAGTTAGACTGCCAGCAGTCTCCTGTTCCCTCTGCAGTTTCTGCCCTCCCCACTTGCTGTCACATGCAGCTCACTTCCACATTGTGCTTGTGGAGGGAACAGAGCCTGGGCAGGGTCTGACAGTAAGGGGTGGCAGGAAAGCTGTAGGGGGGAGAAGTTGGGGTGGGAGGTAGAGGGCAAGAGGGCTAGATGATGCCCCCCACTCTCCCGCCAGCCATTTTCCCAGCTATAGTGTGGGAAGGGGATGAATTCAAGACATTCCAATAATTAGATTCTACACCTGGAAAAATATAACAAATTTATACATTTTCCATATATAGAATCTAATTTTTGGGGAGTTGTCTTATATTTGTTATCTTGTATTGCAGTAAATATGGTAGGTGACCCTGAACAATTTTCAGCAAAAATAACAGCTGCCAATTTCACACTTAAACATGCTATTAGAGTTTCTTTTAGCAATACTGGGTGAAGGCTCTAAAAGCCTTTTCTTAAATGCCAAGCATTTTATAAGTTGTGATAAAGTGGTGTTATAATGGGTTTAATTAGTTAAAAAATATGGATATTGCATTCATCTTGCTTCTGTGCAAGATATTTGTTAGAAGAATTCCTTATAAATACACTGTATGGTGTTTAAAAGTAAACAATTTAATTAAAATGGGCATTTTAAAGTTTTTATTTGTACCCATTATGTTGCTGCAAAGTGCAATATTTTGTGACAAGGGAAGAATAGACTTAATTATCATCAAAAGAACCTGACTAGTTAATGCTAAAACAAAATATTTAAATATTAAACAGTTATATTCTTCATCTAATTGCTAATAATATTCAGGATATTTTAAATGGTTCTACTTTTAGAGAACTTTTTTAAAAACTCCACTTTTAGAAGGCAAAAATTATGTTGGTGTTTCTCAGAGTAATGGCAAACTCAGAAATGTCAATTATCAGTCAAGACAAACAAAACTCTTGGGTTAGAGGTGATATCTTTTATTAGACCAACTACATAGTAGCAAAAAAAATATCTTTATTTGCAAGCTTTCGGGTCCAAACACCCTTCCTTCAGGCTGAGGAGAATTCAAGGACTGTAAAAGTTCTCCCAGGTAAAAAAGAAACTGCATTTTACACAGGGGATGTAGAGGGTGGAAGTTTTTCCCCTGGGTTACTCCGAGTCCTTTTGTGAGAGCGCTGCTCTTTGATATGTTGATTAGGCAAGGCTTCATCCCTGGAGGTGTCTGGTGTAGGTCGGGGAAGTGAAAAATTCCTCTTTCTTGGTTAGTAATGAAGTTTACATTTCCAAGCGGCTAACGTATTTTAGCCGTTTGGAAATGTAAAGTTCACTGCTAACCAAGAAAGAGGAATTTTTCACCTCCCAGACTGACATCCACGGATGAAGCCTGCCTAATCAACATATCAAAGAACAACTCTCTCCCAAAAGGACTTGAGTAAGCCAGGGGAAAAAAACTTCCACCCTCAACCTCCCTTGTGCAAAATGAAGTTTTTTTTCTACCTGGGAGAACTTTTCCAATCCTTGAATTCTCCTCAGCCTGAAGAAAGGTGTTTGGACCTGAAAGCTTGCAAAGAAAGACATTTTTGTGGCTACTATTTAGTTGGTCTAATAAAAGATGTCGCCTCTAACCCAAGAGTTTTGTTTGTCTATATTTCTTAGACCAACACAGCTACAGCTTATATCCCTGAAGATTCATTCAAAACAATCACAGAATATTCTCACTACAGATATGCAAAATGCCAGACTGCTGCACAGACTGAAAGTTTTCTTTTTAGCAGTACTATAAAATAGCTTTAAGGGTTTTTTAAAGTTTTTAAATGATTAAATACTCTATTGATTACTCTATCAACAGAACAAGTATAGAAGACAGCAGTAATACAAACTGTTCCACTCCATCATCCTGCCAATAGGTCTCTACTCTGTCTATAGAAACCAGGCCACATTTGGCTTGTAGCACTCAAGCAACTCCTAGTTTATTATGTTTTGGCATCTGGGGATAATTCAGCTTCCATGACAACTTAACCCTTCTTCTCTGAGTTATAGACAAGCATTGCCTACGATTGCAGGGAACGAGGATTAGAGACCGTGATATGAACATCTGTCTCAACTCATTTCACATAGGCCCCCAGAAATGCTATCAGATAGCAGGGGTGTAATTGGTAAAATCAGATAGCAGTGCCTTTCAGCTACTTTTGCCCTGGGCCAAATAATGACCAGCAATGTAAAACATCTTCTGCAATTCTAATTATTTGTGTTTACTCAACATTCAAAAATTAATCTCTTGTCTAATAATATTGCAAGTTGATGAATTACCTGTCAAAACTGCTTTGCTTAAAGTTTTTATTTGTCGAAAAATCTCTTCTTTCAGTGTAGTCCAGCTATCTAGATTATTAGCCACTACTTGTTTAATACTGTCTGGCTCAGTTCTAACAAAGAGAAGTAATGAAAGAGCCTCATGCAGAGTTAACCGGTGGTTCTCCAATATTCTTCTGCAAAAAAAGGAAAATAGGTTGACAATATCGCTCATTAGAAGACAGAGAACAAATACCAATAGTTGTCAAAGTGTAGCTATTGTATTAACCAGGAAGCCTGCTAAATACTTTTCCTTAGGTCACATTTTAAAATATAGCTTGCTACTATTATTCAGTATAACAAATAGAGTTAAACATTTAACATATTTGTCAGGCAATATCAAGCAAAGGAGTATTTCTTCCTCCTTTGTTTTTACTTCAAACCTCATTTATGTACAAATGAAGACAAATGTAAATAAAATAGACAAAGCAAATGTCCTATGATTCTTTTTCAAAAGTTCTGACATGGATTTGTGTATGTACTCAAAGTCTTCTTAGGCAATCATCAGGAAGAAACACAGAACTGCAGCTATGTTCCAAATGTTACAATATCCCAAGAACAACTGGCTTTAACTCTGTTGTTAACTTATTCTGTTGAGATTAACGTCAAAAGTTCCAACAATATTCATTAGTCTCTTTCCAGTTTCATTTGCTAACAAAACATTTTAACATGTGCTGAGAAACAACAAACATTGAAATGTTTCCAAAATTTTTTCTCAAGTATTAGTTCTTGCCAGGATGCTTACAATTCTACTGGGTCTAGTTACTGACTGCACCCCACTTTTTCACAGAAAACAGATATTTTGCATTACCTTTTGGGAAGTCTTACCTGAACAGCTGCAACTGCTTATATACAACTTCTTTCTCTTCTTGGAAACATCTCAAATCCCCATTTAGATTTTGCAATTCATCTTGTTTGTTTTTCAACTGCAGGGTTAGATTTTGTATTCTATAAAAGTAAATAAAAGAATTATAGTAATAGTATTTGCTCAACTAAAATCTACAAATTCTATTTTTTGCACTGATATAACTACTTTTCATTTTAGAAACTGCATTCTTTAAGATAAGAGGTATGGTGTCTTCAAGTAGAGAGAAATGGGAAATCTCTAGTCATTTGAAATGTTCCCTTATACTATTCAATAAAACTTGAATCTACTGAATTTTTGTGTCAGGTTCTTGCTTGCCTATGAATCATTGCTGTATTATTGTTATGACCATAAAAAGAGGTGGATGCAGTGTGCAGTTTATTGGGGAAATTTAATTAACAGCTATGTAGTCAACTTAGATTTGGCCCCAAATTTAGATTTAACAAGAACAAACTTTTGTAAAACATAAATATTTCCATAATTTTAAGATAAAAATGCTGCAAAAATAAGATATATATATCATTGTATGTATATTTACAGGCACAACTATTCCCCTGCTGCGTTTGCAAACTAACTACTACAACACAAAGAAACTTAGTCATAATGCGTTAACTTTACTTTAGATACTGGTAAACAGTTTTAGACACAAGTAAACTGGAATATTAAAATTCTTAAAATTTTAATAACAAAGGTGGTGTTAATAGCTTTTGTAAGAACGTGTCTCTTTGCAATTAATAACTTTAAGCTTCTGTTACTAATATTATATTCCACCTATGTCATACAACAAGTTTCAAACACTGCATAAACACATACAAAAAAAATTAATACGGATTTAAAACCTACGTGAAAGCTACAATACTTTAAAATATTTCTGTTTCATAAATCTGAGTCCCGAGAGAAAAAAGGACTTGAAAATGGAAACAACTTTTAACGTGCATCTTCTGTGACAGCCTCCTTCAGTAATATATATACACCAAAAAATTCTTCTTAATTTAGCACTAAGGTTTTTTCCAATGCATTTCCTATCAATACAATCACTAAAACAAAGATAAAATAATTAGTTAACCCAACATTAACATCTGTAACAACCTCAGCTCATACCCCTTAACACCTGAACCATGGGCGTGACAGCGACTACTTTGTCATGGTGCCTCCTATGAGTAGCTGTAAAGAGAAACTAAGAGTGCTGACAGATGTACAGTTTCACATAAAGTGCCATGAGTTACAGCAACTCCTTCCCTCCCCCCACTGACCAATAGATGTTCACTGTTTGGTTGGGGAGGGTGGAAATGGAGTTCTACTTTGAAGCCAATCTAGCGGAGAGAGGCTGTGTGTCTCCAGTCTGGGGTTTGCCCAGCTTCCACTGGAGGGGGGGGTGGATTGGAGGCCCCATCTGAAGGGTGGGGGCTCCAATCCACCCATCACTTCCCTTCATCGGAGGCTGGGCAAACCTCAAAGCAAGCTCCCTCCACTCTCCCATCCTCCCTCTCCCATCCTCCCTCCCATCCTACAAACATCACAGGGGCAGGGACAAACATTAGTTAATGAAGGCACTCCACTTTGGAATACCATCTGAACCCTCATTAAATAAGGGTTAATTTGTTGTGTGATTGGGCGCTTTTTAAAGTGCTCTGCAGCCATGTACTTCTGTCAGGGCACAGCTGTAGAGTGCTTTCAAGGGATCAATTGTGTGACAAATATCACTTTTGTCAGCACCCTAAAAGTCACTACTAAGGCAGCCAGACTTTCAATTTGTCCAATTTCAATACGTTATACTTTCCAATTTTGATATACTAACTACAGGATGAGCCAGAGCAACCTCTCCTATCTATAAGGGAAAAGCTTGACTGGTCTTCAACTTAATGTTGAAGGCTATTCATCACTCAGATCAGTGCTGGAACACATCACCAGGGAAATTAACTCTTTCTACACTACAGGAAACACAAATGGAGTAGCTGAGGAAGATGAAGCTCTCAGATGACACCCTTGCAGACTCTATAGCCAGCAATATCTACGGCTTTGCTACTGTCATCAGAAACAGCCTGCCATATATGCCCAAGGGACATAACACCTCCCAGAGCACAATAGAATGGAATGTTGCCCAGGTCAATAATATAAACACTGTCAACTTATACAGGCCCCACCTTCCATCTTGTCAATGACATCCCTGACTATTCATGACTACATCAATATATGTAAGAGACTTCAACTGTCAATATTAAGATTGGGGGTACTCCGTTAACAGTAGCAACAGAGACAATTTTTGTCTCTGGGCAAGCCTGAATAATATAACCTTCATATATGACTCAAAGGAGCCATGTACCATCCACTCTGGATGATGAACATTCAAACAAACTCAGATCTTGTCTGTTGGAAGCACATCTTGAGTAAAATACTGATAAGAAAAGTACTTGAAAACAATACCATAACAAGGAAGTTTGGTGCCCAGGGCAAGCCCACAGCAGCAGGCCACCCTCACTCCACACACAGATCTGGGGAGCACACCCCCCTCAGTGTTTGCCCGGGGGTGCACACAACAGCAGGAGCTGCGCCCCCCCAAATAAGCCACTCATGGCTCTGTCCCGCACCCTGCCCTGGCTGGGCAGAACCTATTAGCACCCCTTCACTTTGGCACCCAGGGCAGTCACCCCGCTCTCCTCCCGCTTGCTAATGTACTGTTTGACAAATTTCCATCACTCCAGTACAGACCCTCCCTCATAAGTACTGACAACATGATTTTTCAGCCCACACCATCCGGACCAACTCCAAGATGAACCTTTTGGAGGGCAAACTGGCAGAAATACCAAAGGCTGACCAACAGGAGAGCAAAACAAATAGAGGATCCATCAGAAACCAAGGCTACAAAACATTTACAAGCTGCCTAACTGAAATAGCCAAACTCTACATACCTAGAGGCTATAGAAGTGACTCTATGCCATGCTGCAACAAGCAGTTTGAACAGCTCTTTAACATCATTAAGCAATGTAATAACCCTACAACCATAAAAAGAACTAGAGAACTGCTAGCTACCACACTGACCAATATCAAAAAGGAGAGATGTTTCACTACCATAGAAGGATTGGATATGAGCCACTTGAGCAGACAAGCATGGAGCATCGTTAACCACCTTACAGGCAAAGGCACCAAAAAACAACATTGCCCTGTGTCAGCCAACTCCGTCACGAAAATACTATGCAACAGCAGAAAGTACTGTAACCCAAGCAAGCAACACAGAAATGATTAATCATCTGATTCATGAACAACTTAAATCACCGTATGTCAACCTTAATTTAACCACCCCTATTTCTGACAATGAGTTTGACACACCTATTCAAGTGATCAAGATTGGCAAGGCTGCTGGACTAGATAAGATATTCCCAGAATTCATTACCAAGCTCAGAACCACAATGAAAAAATGGATTCAGAAATGCACGTATAAATGTCTAGAAAGTAACAGACTTCCAAAAATATCGAGAAAAGCTGATGTCATTGCTGTTCTGAAACCCAATAAACCATCAGAGGATCCAGAGAGATACTGACCCATCTCACTACTCTGCATTACATACAAACTCATGGAGTGCATAATCCTGAATAGAATAAAGAACATCACTGACCCCCCAGCTACCAAAAACAGAAGCTGTTTTTTGGACAAAGTAGTGTACTACTGACCAAGTTACATTACTTACATCTCACATAGGAAACAGATTTGAAATGAGGCAGAAAACAGGCACAGGCTTTATCGACCTCACAACACCCATGACATTGTATGGCATCAAGGCCACAAATATAAAGTGAACTCTGTGATACCTGACTGCAAGCTATGAGCTTTCATTACTAACATGATCTCTAGCAGATCATTCAAACTCACTACCAGCCAAGAAGAAAAAGCAGAGTACAAACTCTGAAGAATGGAGTCCCCCAAGGGTCAGTACTAGCACCAATACCTTTCAATGTATATACCTCAAACTTCCTGCATATTGCATCTAAGTGATACACATACGCTGATGATGTTGCTGTAGTAGCCCAAGGAATAGACATGGCAGAACTGGAAAAGACACTGAACACTTACACTGAACTCATCACTGACTATCTCCACAAGTGGTGCTTAAAGTTGTGCATCAATAAATCAGTATCTTTACTCTTTCACCTGGACAATCGCTGACCCACAAGCACACTGAATATCAGAGTAAGCAACCACATCCCTCTCCATGAGCATACTCTAACCTACCTAGGAGTAACATTAGATCGTTCCCTCACCTGTAAACTTCATATTCAAAAGGTCAGAAGTAAAGTCTCAGCACAGGTAGCAATCTTAAGATGTTTAGCCAGCATGACATGGGTGTCAACTTCAAAGTACTCAGAACTGTCACAACCCAAAGTTGTGGTTTTTTGTTTGTGTGCGCTTCGGCACCGCCAAATTATGTTCCCGCTAAATTGCAGCTCCTTTGCACGGTGGAGTTTTCTGCTGCAACAAAAGAACCCGCGTGCAGAAGAGTATTTCCCGCCAGTTTGTAGCCTTCTTTGCATGGTGCATTTCTTTTGCATCCTGGAGATGCACGGTGCAAAGGAGTTCCCGCCATTTGTATTTAGATTCGTGCCACATTATTGGGTTAAATTAGGCACACATGGCGGCTAGCGATTGGCTTGCTAGCCGTATAAAGAGCTTGAGTGGTTTCCGCCCAAGTTGGAGGACTCCACAAACACCAGGAGAGGGAGAGAGAAAGCAAATTGGAGTTCGGGGGAAAGAGCATGATGATCTCTAATCGCTGCTGATTCCTTCGAACCCAGCTCTTCCCTTAAGAAGGCAACAGAGGCTTAACTACTGAACTGAACCCACAGAGCCTTAACAACTCCAGGGACCCAATTACCGAACGGCCTCTAGCCTCTCCCCGTCACCGAGCGCAATCCTAGACGTATGCCTTTCCTTTTGAAACTACCGAACCCGCGGAGCTTCAACCACTCCGGGGTCAATTGTCGTAGTCCTCCAACGAGGATTTAAGCGGAGCTGTGACTGGAAAACTGTCCGGCCTACACCACGAACATCTTTGGTGTAAGTAAACAATCTTTTAATCAACAATTACGC